CCTCATGAGTTGCGTTTTTTTTGTCTCCTGTTTTTTTTGGTTCTCCTCCGGCCTCCAATTCAGGACTGTCAGATTTACTGCGATGATCTCTTTTTTCTTCCGTCGTTGTCTCTTTTTGGGATTCATTTCTCTCGGAAGTATTCTCCAAGTTACCATCGTTGCCACTCTTAGTGCCAGGGCTGCCAGAAGATGATGAAGAAGAAGACTGATTAGTTCTTGGTTTTTCGAGATGAGTTTCACTTGTATTTTTTTTATTGTCGGTATGTTCTCCATCATTTGGACCCAAAACCCCTGGCTTTTCCTCCTGTCCTCCTTTACCTGATCCTCCAGGCTTCGGCGGTATTGCTGTTTCTGGTTGACCTGGGGAAAAATTTCCTTTTGAACCAGCCGCTGCACTGCCCTCCGTATCATTCTGCAATGGTTCCCTGGTATCCTGAGATGGGCCTGGACCACCACTCAATTCATCTTGTCCAGCATCCGCAGCTTCAACCGCCTTTATTAATGCCATTCGAGTGGATAACAACCCGCAGTACGCCTTTAGAGACACGCCGTCATCTCCACCATTACTCGTGTGCCTCAAACCGTTCCCACCACCCTCACTGCAGTAATCGTCCATCGCGTGTCCAAAAACCGCACCGCACCACAGCACGCAGAGGGCACACACCAGCAGCACACGGCCAATCATCACCGTCGCCATCACTCCTGTCACTTGCGTGTAGCCTTCAGCACAAACTAACAACACGTCAACGCAGAGCAAGAATAAATACAAGGACGCACAAAAGAAAAAGAACATTAAAAAACACCACCAGCAGCAGCACGCATTTCATAAGAGATATTAAACCAATAAAGTGCAAAAAGCGCCCAACGCCATGCAAAAATATAATTAAAAAAAGCACAACAAGAAAAAGCAAAACAAAAGTAAACAAGCAGAAAGAAACTAAACAATGTAAAAACACAAAAATAGAACCCTGCACCCAAGCGGCTCCAGTGTGCATGCATCCATCCCCAACAGTGGGTCCACGCAAACAGTTGTATGCGTGGCGTGCATGCAAGTTTGTCTGGGACGCGTTCTAATGTGACGGATGTGGAAAGTAAAGAGAAGCACACAGCAGGCAGAAACAAGTAAGGCAAAACAGAATCACCATAATTACTCATACTTTATACTTCGGACCACAGTAGAAGCGCATAAATCCCGTGGCTGAGTGCTGGCACGCATAGCCCGCACACACCTCTTCAGCCCAGAGCGGTGTACGCCAGCGCGGATGCGGCGAGCAGCAGCGGGGCACACACCCACGCAGAGCTGCTGAGACTGCCGTCGATTTCGCGAAGACGTGACGGTGCGCGGGTGGTGGACGTCGTGGTTGACGCCTCTCTATTCATGACCGTATCACTAGATGCCTCTGTTGTAGTCGTGGTAGTGTTTGTTTTGTTTGGCATTTTTATTTTCTGATTTGATATCTGTGCCTTATGATTCTCATCACCTTGTGTATTTTACTGCTTCCTTTTTATTTTGTGCATCTGACATACCGGTCGCAACTTGTGTGTGTGTGGAGAATGAGTTGCCAAACCTGCTGGTTCTGGATTATCGCTAGCCGAACGTAGTGTCTCTGGCGGAACTGGTGTCTGTCCAGTGATGGCTGTGCCTGCTTCCTTTGGAAAGAAGGTCCTTGACTTCTCAAACCCTCCTCGCTGTCTCTCCCACTCTCTGTCTGTGGCACACCGGTCTCCCCACCATATGGCTGTAATGCACCAGGCGTATTTTTCTGTAGGATCCGGGTTCCCTAGCTCAGGGCTGGGAGGACTGCTGTTATCATCATTATCGTCTCCTGTCGCCGTCACGCACACGGACGAGCAGCAGCAGCACGAGAGCGCAAGGAACAACACGGCGCACACCGTCACCATCGCAGTCATCATCGCCCGTAGTGGAGTCGCTGGTGTCAGTCAGCCGATCGGTGAGACGGAAAGGAAAGGAATGGAACGAGAGGGAGAGGGACGGAGCACAGCGGATACAGCGAGAGAGAGCAGACAACATGAGGAGAGGGCAGCAGGCCCAGCCGCACGGTTCACACACCACGAGACGGCATCCACGCAAGGAGGGCACACAACGCCAGCAGCCGCCTACCATGCAGGAGGAGAAGACATCCACGACCACCTCCCCCAGCTCATTCCTGCAGCCCCAGGGAAATGGCCAAAACCCCGCGGCCACCACACAACGCACACGGAGCAAGCGAACCCTCATCCATCCATGACGCGGCACAAAAAATTCCTGCCATCCCGCCCTCAATGGGAGACGGAGCCCAACTCAGCGCAGTCACACGCGGTGCATCAAACCCACAGGAAAATAGACTCGGGCTGCGCGCTTCCTCTCTCCCTCCTTCTCCTCATGGACACGGAAGAAGACAACAGCCGCCACACGCAACTGCCAGCATGCACTACAAAAGGAGCATTCAAACCCACTGCAATGTGCATCTTGTGTGTGGTTGTGTGTGCCTGCAGCAACACAAGGCAAAGATGTAGAAAAGAGGGAGCAGAGTATGTGGAGAGACGCACAAAAATGTACAGCGGAGACGCAAAACGGAAACAACAAGAAGACCGCTCAAACTCATGATTGTACTGCAGCCCAAGCAGTGGCAATTCACACAAGATTTATTGAAAACAAAAAAACGTCCCCCCTCGTCTTATGTAAACCCCATCACACAAAATAATTATAAATGAAAAAGAAATCGTCCATTACTGCTCCACACAAAATAAAAAAAAGATCGCCTGGCTGCCGTGTGGCCACACCAAACTCTCTGTATATATTTTGCCCGCAAACGAAAATTAAAAAGATGTTTACGTGTGCTTCAACCGTCTGACCCTCCATGTGTCCGCACATCGTTTATATTTCATGGGGTCATCTGCGTGTTGCTGCTCCCCTCAGCCCTTTCATCGGCGTGTGAGTGCGGCCCGCAGAGCTCAGTCACTCGTGTGTGTGGGGGGACTGAGAGAAGCACGCAGACATGACGGGAGTCGCGTCTCTCCATCGGGAGAGTGAGCGCAGCAAAAGAAAAAAAAAATCATCGGAGGGGAGAGAAACGCTGACGGGACTGCCGGCGCGTTAAATGCGCACGTAAAGCAAAAGAGAAAAAAAAAAAAAGGAAAAAAAAAACTAAAACACGGCGGCAGGGTGTGGCTGTGTGTGTGTGTGGCGCTGCGGGTGTCTGCCAGCCCTGGCCGCAAAGAAAACAAAACAAGAGGGAAAGAAATGTGTGCTCCGCCCCACAGGCCCTCGTCGCACGCCCACACGTCACGGCTCCCTCAGCGCGCCGTTCGTCGCGGCCCCTCCTCATGCGTGCAGCAGGCGAGGCGCACAGGGCCGTCGTCATGAGCGTGTCGGTGGGTGTGCGAGTGAAGCAGTTGGGCGGAAACACACGGCACCCCTCACAGGAAGAGTGCAGCAACAAACAATTGAAAGAGGGAAGAGTAGAAAAGAAAAAACGTCCATAGTGATTGCCCCCAAAAGCAAAAAAAAAGAGGGAATGAGGGAAATGAGAAATAAAAGCACAATAAAAAGTAACAACAACAACAAAACGCAAAGCAAACAGGGAATAAAATAAATGCTATTTGAGAAGGGAAATTCATTATCACGTGTATTTTTGTGCTGGGGAGGTCGCAAGTGTCCCACGCGGCAGCCAGTCACTCCTCACAGAGCCGCAAACACCCACAGTCCCAACAGAAGAAACAGCGGCAGCAGTCCGCTCCCACGCACAGTGCCGGCATCGCTGTTATTCCCCAGAGACACATTTCCGAGGCTGCTGCTGAGTGCCGCAGCCTTTACTTCGCCGTCCTGTGCATGGATGTCCTCCCGTTTCTGCCCATCCGTCCCTCCCACCGTCTCCCCATTCTCACCAGAGCGCGCACCAACCTCAGTTGTATCTGCGGGGTCAACTTGAGCCACGTTCGTAGCGGTAGGAGCGTTTGGATCTGCTGTGTCGGGGGTATCCACAGGAGTTTGGGGTGGTGTGTCTCCCTGCACCGCACCTCCAGCTTCCGCTCCCACCGTTGGATCACCATCGGATGGAGAAGCGACATCCACATTTTTGTTTCCACCGGAAGATACTCCTGAAGGCAGCTGGATTGCGGATTGCTCTTTTCCTAAGGAAGTCGTTACAGTGGACGGTGCTGATGTGGACGTGCTGCCACCGCCCGTACCCTCATTTTCATTCAACAATTTAGGCCCCGACGGCGGTTGCCCGGCAGGAGAGAACTGCGACTGGGTTCCTTGGGCATTGTCAGACACCACAGGTGGAATGAGGGCTTTATTCGGGTTGAGGGCGCCAATCTCCGCAATACTCAACGGGCGGTTGTACAGCAGGACGTTCCTCACAGTCACAGACACTTCTTCTTGTCTCCCTGCGCCGCCTGCACTGCGTTCGCCCCCTCCAATGTAGAAGTGGGAGACCGCTCTTGAATCCTTATTCTCCAATTCACACGCTTCATTCCCACTTACGCGCTCACCATCGACGTACACGGAACCCTGGGTGCCGTTCCGTAGCAAAATTACCACCTGATGTGTTGTATCTTTCTCCCAAGTGCTGCTGAGCTCCTTAGGCGTTTCTTCACCGCAAGACAACTCCCACTTACCTCCGCTGTTGTACGACAGTCCCAGGAGTACAGACTTCCCGCTGTCATCCATCTTCACACCCATCAAAGGAATGTGGGTATCTCCCTCCTCCGGCACACCGTCGATGGACACCGTCGCCACAAGAGTGAAGTTGTAGTTCGCAAAGTGGTACAGCTGATTCTCCCCTTGCTTGCCAACGGGCCACTCCGCCCACGCTCCCTGGAAAATCACACCATCGGAAGTCTTTGTTGCCCCCGTCTCCCCTGCATCCTCTGTTGCCCCATCTTTCTTCTTCACCGTGGCGTTCACCCCGAGGTACTCGTCCCTCCATTTGTTATCAGAGAAGTTGTCGGACAAAAAGCCAACCAGCCCATCCGTGATCTTAACAGTAGGGCTGCAGGCATTTTCAGGTGAGGCATCCTTCTCAGCACTTGAAGTGGTGCACAGCTTGGAGACAAGGTCGTCCACTTTCTTCCACGTCGCCAGCACATCCTTCACACGCTGCAGCTGCTCAGTCAGGAGCACAGACCAAAGACTGTGTGATGATTCTCCATCGCCCTTCTTCTTCTCGTACAGTGCAATCAACTCCTCATTATTTCCACTTCCATCACTTTTGTACAACAGGGAGCTGGCGGCAGCGTCATCATCGGATACCGGCCCAATATCGACAATGTGCGTATTGTCCGTCAGCCAAAGATGGAGTTCGCCGTTTTCTTTTTTATCAGCCTTCTCGGAATACACCGGCAGAGTAACAAGCATCACATTCCTCTTATTATCGGCACCGTCAATCGTCGCTGTGATAAACCCGCTTCTAACGGCCTTCGCTTCTTCGCCCTTTTTGTTGCCCCACACGCGCGAGAGTGTCCCGAGTGCCTCCGTCCACGACTCCCCCTTGTCACCGGACTCGTACACCCTGCGGCGGCCATCATCGCACGCAGTCATCATGATGAGTTTTTTGTCCTTCCACTCCACGACGGAGGGATCACTGCAGCCATCGGCAGACATCCCCTTCGACAGCTTCCAACTCTTAGCATCCTTCGAGTATATGATCAGCGAGACGGTCTTTTTATCCTCCTTTGGTG